GGCCATAGGGTATAATGGGAAATCAATGAAGTATCTAGTACTTTGTTATTTTTTGTCCAATTTGGATGAAACTTGCAAGGATGGTAGCCTCTGCTGAGAGCATGACACCTGCCAAGTGTCAATAAGATCAGTGCTAGGGTTTGGGGAGAACTTTACCCCAACTTCTTGAAAGCCAAACTCATATCATGGCTGTGTGTTACAACACAGGAGGGTCAAAACTGAAGGGGGGTGCTTGCTCTTACTGAGACCAAAAAGCCTGCCAAGTTTCAAGGAGATAGGTGCAGGGGTTTGGGGGGAATTTCTCCTCAAGCTACAGACAACTGAAGAATTGAAAATCCTCCTACTGGGAGAATTCCCCTAGTATTGATTGGAGATTTTAATTGCATATGGGAGGGCAGGGATAGGATGGGGAGCAACACCTCAGGATTAGAGGTCCTCATGGATACTGGCAAGGATGGTAGTATAGCATAAGCTACAGGACACCCAAAAGCCAGTGCTTGGACTTGAGAGCAGGTTTACTAGAGTAAATATGATGGGCTGTTCATGGTCCTGTATAGACTTCATTTTTGGGTCTGTAGACTGGAAAATTCAAACAGCAGAAAAAATACCAGTCTTTGCTTTGGACTACCTGCTACTAAGGACAGTGTTGGAAGTGGGAGAGCAGGGAATACCAGGCAGAGGGCAGTAAAAGCAAAATATGAGACTATTGGAAAATGAAGAAGTGTGCAGATGGTATGGGATCCACTATGAAGAATGGAGAGCAATGAAAGGAATATATATAAGCAGAGCGAGATGGCAGGAAGATGTTCATGAAAGAATGCATGCCGTTTTCAGAATGGGGTAAAAGAAGGGTCTGGGAAAAGGAAAAGAGGTTTACAAGACTGCAATGGAGACTGCAGCATCTCATACAACTGACAGAAAAGAGATTCCTAGTAGTAGAGGAAATTAGAGCTACAAAGAACCTACTGAAGGAGTGGTTTAGAGAGAAAGGATAGAGAAACATCTTTCTTATAGAGGCCACGTGGATGGAGGAAGAAGAAGAGTGGTCCTACTTTTCTTCGAGAAAAGAAAAAATATAATATAACAGTGCAGAATGAGAGGGGGGTGGTTCTAATAAAGGCAGAAGAGATACTGGGTGCTGTGAAGGAATTTTACCAAAATGTATACTCCTGATAAAACATATATGCTCCCAAATATTGCATCAGGGAGCCCTTGCCTCTTTTTTGGTGAGAGTGAGCTTGGAGGAAAATGAGAGGCAGCAGCTGAAGAAAACATGGACAGTGTAAGAACTACAGGAGGGAACCTGAACTTCAAAGACAAGAAAGTATTTAGGGAATGTTGGGGTCCCAGCAGAATTTTACAGGACTTTTTAAGAATGACTAAGCCCAGACCTATTAGCAGTGTTTCAGGAGTGTCTGGAGAGGGAGCAGTTGCGGGCAAATATGGACACAGGAATACTAACATTATTGTACGAGAAATTAGAGCAGGAAAAGCTGGAGAACTGGAGGCTGATAACCTTATTGAACCTAGATTCTAAGATAATTGCCAAGGTGTTATTGAACAGATTCAAAAAAGTCATAGGAAAGGTAAACCATGATGACCGGGCTTGTGCAGCCTCTGGCAGAGTACCAACTATGATACTACTACTACTAAGAGATGTGACTTGTCAAGAATGAGGATTGAATGTGGCACTCCAAATCTCAGTTTAGAAAAAGTGTGTCTGGATAAAGTGTGAGTTCCTGTTTGGCATGCTGAACAAGATGGGAGTTCCACCAAAGTTTATACATTGAATCAATACTTTATATGCAGAAGCATGGTGTAGCATAGGGGGTGAATGATCTTCTAATGAAGGAGGTGACAGTCAGATCAGGCATAAGACAGGGGTTCCTTGTCATGACTCCTATTCACCTGTGCAGTTGAATCGGGATAGATTGTATGATTGAGGGTGTGCCAATTCCTGGAGGAAAGGGCACACAAGCAAAATGCATGTTTTACATGTTAACCTCTTAGCAAGAGACACCATGTCCCTAGAAGGGGTGATAAGACATACAAATTAACACAAAAAGGCATCAGGCACAAAACCGAATGTACAAAAAAATACATGCCTGGTGGCAAGAAAGATGAAAGAAATGGGAAAACTGGGGTTACAGGTTACAATGGACCAAATCAAAATACTGGGAGAAAGTGAAAGGGAAGATAAAACAAAAACTGGGGAGCTGGTTCTACTGCAAGCTGTGAATGGTAGGACAAGTAAATGTAATTTTGGAGGAAGTACTCCCAATCATAATTTATATAGGCCTGATGTTCCGTCTATTTTTGTCCACAGCGTGTAGGATTCAATGGGAACTGAGAGTATTCTTTTGGAAAACCAAAAGGGAAAGGCTTAGGAGAACAATACTATAAAAGGAGAAATTAAATGGAGGATGGGTCTTCCCAAATGTGTTTCTGTCTGCTTATGCAAAGTATATCAGATTGTGCTTCACAGAAGGGGTAAAAGGGAATAACAAATGGGTTGGGTTTGTTTAGTACTATGCAAGAACATTATTGCACAAATATAACATAGGTAAAAGGTCGCGTCTCATGACCCTGGGCCAGGATAATGCTGCCAATATATGAGAAAATTATAAAATTTGTGAATCTGTACAGCATGTGGACACTAGCCACAACAGAGCTTGTGTACTATAAAAAAGTCAAGGCCTTGGTTAGGGAAAAGGAGACTGTGTCTCCAGTAGGGAGGCTCATATGTGAAGAATCATGGACAATTTGGAAGGGGTTGTTTGGCAAAAGTTTACGGAAGCAGCACTGGGATTTCAGTTGGCTGCTAGCACACTGGATTGTTCCAGAATGGGCACTTCATTACAGTTGGGTACTGTGTAGAACAGCAGAATGCCCTAGACAAACATGTCATGGGAAAGAAAGCATATGGCATGTGATGTGGGAGTGGGAGTTCAAAAGAATTGTCTGTGGGAAGGCAGAGAAACTCCTACACTAGCTGGCTGCTAAGAGCTAGAAGCAGTTCTGTGAAGAGTGTGGACCATGGCCCAGAGGAAGCATGGAAGAAGAGTATGGAAAGCTGTAGTGAGCTTTCACATGGCATTGTGGAAGGCAAGAAACTTACATGTCTTGCAACTACTAGAACTCTCTGTAGAAGATACCTTGCATTTGGACTTAAGTGAACTGGGGTGGTATTGCAAGTGGGACACAACAGAACTGGGTAAAGACCAGGGGATGGATTTATGGAAAACAGAAGATTAGAGATACCTAGTAGATCTAGGTGGATGAAAAGATGATGAAGCCTGAGAGGTGGTGGAGTTACAGCCACAGGCTGGGGGTTGGCTAGGGGAAAAAGACATGACAGGGGCAAAGACAAGACATATATGGGATGGGGGTGATAGGTGTTAATAGACAAGCTTGGAAAGTCACAAGAAATAATGTAGTATTAAGAAACAGAAGTGACCAGGTCCCTGAGTTAATGGGAATTTGAGGAAGGAAGGAATCACTGGATTATGTTACATGTTCTATGTCTTTGTTGGTCATATTTGTTGAAGTTCTGGAAGCTGATGGAAGCATGCTTTAAGTCTGGACAACATTGTTTGTTTTCTTGTAGCTGATGTAGTTTAGTAATGTAAGGTTTGTAGTGTAAAGTACACAAATTTTTAAGTTTTGATACTTTCATAATAAAAAAAGGTTCCTGTTCAGTGTGTTTGCCCAGTATGGGCCAGGCGTTTCATGCATATATTCAGCAAGGACTGCATTCAATCAACTTCATAGCTGGTTTCCTTGATTGAGCACATGCTGCTTCTAACTGCAGTTTCATGATAGACAGTGTATAATAGGGGGGTTGCTGTTATGCACATAAAAGATGAGGGACTTTTTCCCCATACTGATTTGGGGGGGGGGGGGGGGGAATTTCATGTTGTATTTAAGTAAATACAGTAAAATACGCATGTTGAAGGACAACAATATAGATCTGATAATATGCAGGGCTAACCTGGAAGAAGGCTTGACCAAGGAGCTGTTGTCTAAAGGGGAATGCAAAGTGGACACATAGTGATGGCAGCTAACATTTTCAGTTATATTTCTTGTTGAGTTTTCATTTGGCATGGGACTGTCTTTGAAAGGATCATTTAAGCTTGTTTAGTCCCTGAGAGGCCACTAATGACTGAGAGGGGTTTAAACTGGAAGGCTAACTCCAGTCCAGGATATTGCCAAGTGACTGCTGAATATTTGGTCAAGGGACATGGTAACATCTGAAATCCTGGGGGAACGTTGATTCTTATCTGGAATAGGAGCAAGGCAGTATTCTTGTAGAGAAGACCAGCACATACCATAAAAGTTCCATCTCAAACTCTATTGTCAGAGATTAAGAAGATAACTTAAATCTGGTTTGTGCTCAGAGGTAAACTGTAGCTTTACTGTGTAATTAAAGCCTTCAGATTATTCACATAACATGTGGAAAACTCAAAGCTTCTGGATGTCTAGCTGTCCATGCAATCTTTTCAAGGTTCAACAATTGCTACATATAAGTACAATTATAGCTACCAATTACTTTTCATGACTGGTCCCTGATTTATACTTTGGATTCAAAGACACTTTAGGTATCTACATACAAAGTCAACTGAACAGTTTGATATCAGTTTCTTTAGACATGATCTTCCTGAAATACCTTAAAATAAGTACTAAATATCTTGTAAAGACAATAATAGGTGTGTATGTAATAAAATTAACAGTCAAGGTGAAGACCTGTCAATAAATACATAGAATGCCATATTCATTCATTGATCTATCTTCCCTCTGCCTTCTTTCAAATGTTCAATGTAGAGTAGGGACTTGAAAACATTCCTTCTCTCTTATCTACCCTCACTCTCCTGCACACATGCCCAATGAATATTTACTTATATAAAGATAAATAGCTCTAATAAAAAATACCTGAGGACCCCCTCCCCAACTCCCCCCCCCCACCCCAATACAGTCAGTAACTTGATGATTAGAAAACTTACTTGAAATGAAGAAGGATAACGTTCATATCTATGGACTGAGCAGGGCAAGAACTTTAGTCTGGAACACCCCCACCTTATGTGAAGGCTGATCTGTAGGTACTGGGAACTCTGGGACAGTCTTCTTTTCATAAATTCCATACTGGACCTGATATGCCTTCCTTTATGAGAACTTTGTTGAAAGGGGTACATTCCTACAAGGAGTTTTACTTTAGCAAATGATCATTTTCTGATAAAAAGAGAAATATATACAAACATTTTTTTTTAAAGAATCAAAAGATTCCCAACCAACAATAAGTACAATTTTCCAAGTCTGAGGTGAAACAGCGTGGATAAAATGTCTTTAAAAAAATAGTTCACAAATCCCAGGAAAGAACAGACTCATTAAGCACTGCTGGTTACTGTTGCTACCTGGTTATCCAGAACATACATTTCTTCTCTTGACCCTTAGGGGAATTTGGAACTGGGTTAGCTTCTAGTCTTTAAAAAGAAAGTATGAACTGAGATGATGGTGTCTTTGGCCTATACATGGACATGGATAGATGTTATATTTGTAGCACTACATATACTTGTGTAGAACTAAAGACAGCAAGGTTCCAGGCCCGGACTATGTTCTATATGTTGTGGACACAAGATATATTTTTGTGTTGGTTTATAACTCTCACTAAAAACATGTATGAGATAAATTGCACTGAGTAACATGGAGATAATCATCCCCTGTTATTAGGGGTGTAACTCCACCCCAGTGGAAACAGCTGGGAAAACAGTGAAGACACAAACACCAGTGGTGCTTTTCAAAGTAATTAATGACAAAGGGCTGCGTTATGGATAAAAGGCAGAATCGTGGGATTTAGAACCCCAGTGGGGGATGGGTGGAAAAAAATGCAGAAATGAGCTTCCAGGATAAGCCTCCAGCTTGGAGATACCAAAGTGTAAAAAGATGCAACTGATGGAGCTAGGCAGAGATGCCCAGAGAGGTAGGAAATTAATTAGGTACTTACCTGCATGAGTGGAGATCTCTTGAGACAATGTGTCAATGACTCCTCGCTCGGGGAGACAAGGGCATGACTTTCTTTCCAGAGTGGCGTGGCAACAACCTTGCCCAGAGCAAGCCACTGGCAGCCAAGCACCCTGCAGGGAGACAGAGTAGCTAGTAAAGGGGAACACAGGATTAGCCAAACATATCAATGAACTGACTGAAAGGGTAAACAGGCTAGAGGCACAGTATTATGCTGTATCCTTAAACCAGCAGGAGTCACTGCCAGTCACCTTGTTACCCAGTAAAAGTTACTCCATTTTGTATCCGCTTCACTTGTGTTTCTTTTTCTAATTTCTCCCATGAAGGTGTGGCAGGAGAGTGTACAAGGTGGGTAAGGATTCAGTAGTGGACCCAGTAACAGGCTGTCATAATTTTTTCTTGAGTACAAGCTGAGGGATCTATTGATATAGGAAGAGATGGGGCTTTTTTCCCCTCCTCTTTTAATATGTAATGCAGCATCTCTTTAATGACAAAAATATATTTTAATACTGTTACTTTTTAAATCCAGATCTTAGATTTAAAAGAGATAAGATGAACTGTAGTCCTCCTGCTATACCATCTGTACAACTGCTTACTAAGTTTGAATCTGTCATACTTATATAGATCTAAAAAGAGCCAACCCTGATTCTCAGTATGCTGAGCCAAAGTTAGGGTAAGATTCTATTTGATCTGATTTGTATGGTCACTTTGCAAGGCAGGATTAAATAAAAATGTCTGTTAGTGTTTTCTCTGTTAACATTAAAATGCATGTCTATACACTAGGGCTACGGACAAACAGTCAAAATGCCTGAGGCTGAATCCATTTAATATTCACAGGTTAGTCTAAGCTGCATAGATTGAACCAATAAGCAAATGAACAGACATTCAATTTGATTCCAGAAAGCAGCCACATGCCTGCAGTCACCCAGGCCAGAAGCCGGGGCAGAAGGTAGTGGGCACTACAGCACACCTCCCTGCTTGGCTGCAACATACAGCCTGGACAAGATTATCCCACCCACCTTGCCAGGGGGGTGGGGCAAGGATGCAGGAGAGGTGCAAAGAATCCTGGGATGCTGGGGGGCTGTGAGTTAACTTGAATCTGGAGGGGATCTGGGACAAAAGTTCAATAAAATGATTTAACCTAAATCAGTTAAGTCTGATACTACATCCATCCAGGTTTATCTTAAACCAGTTTAGACCTTTTTGAAAGCAGTTTATGTGCACTGAACTTCTGTTGTGTTACAGATTTGAAACGGTTTCTGGTCGCTTGTACTGGTTTATGTGTAACTTCTATAGCGGAGGGGCAATCAACCCATGGCACATGTGCCATAAGTGCCACAGGCAGCCTCTTTGTGTGGCATGCAGAACAGGGAGACAGCAAGGAACAAAAGCAGAAAGAGCAGGGAAGAGAAAGAAGAGCAACAGATCAGGCAGGGAAGGAGATCAGTGTGGCACCTGGCAGGGTGCAGGACTTGCTTTGGGGTACACTTGTCAAAAAGGTTGACCATCACAGTATGAGAAAATAGTCATAGTATGAATTTCTTTATTTCTGCCAGGAAAGCCAGAGTCAAGTACATTAAATATCAAAATATAATTGACTAATTTCCTTTATTATGCTTCCTGATTATGATTTTTTCATTGTTGGTGTATGCTGCCTTTTATTTTGGGATGAAGTCAGTAGAAGGTCTGCCTGTTTGACTGAGATTGATTCTGATCTCGTTAACAAACCGGTATTAGTTCCTGAGTTGGGATTTTGTGTGTGTGTGTGTATTTATATGTTGAATAAATAAAGCATAAAAAACTGATTTTATTCAATTTGTTTCTAAAAGCAAGGGATCTTTACATGAAACAGAAAAAACCCAATAACATGGTTTCAAAATCAAAGTTTATGGCAGGCTAACTCTCTAAGTGTCATCCACACTGAACTACTTTTCTCCAGGCTCATTTATATATGCTTCTTGGATTTTATTCAGATATAGAATTTGCATTTAGATTGCTCTTCTGGGGAAAAATAATTCAGAAATCCTGTGATTTCTTTTAACCTTAATACAGCAACAATCACAATGATTACCTGTGGCTGAAAAGCCTTTTAGCATATCAAGCCGCATTTCAGTATTCCCCATTCAACCAATCCAAGGTTGTTACCATCAAATATTATTTTATCTATTCCTAATTCAAACCACAACCAGGATAGTATGGGTCAAGATCATATATTGTTCTATGAAAGGGTAAGTGACAGTTCCCTTTATACCAAATATATATTACATGCAAAAATTGACAGAAATCTGAGAGAAATCTGTTCACATAAGAATAAAACTTATTTAACATTTACTTATTAGTAACAGGGCAATACTGAAAAACACTTAACAAACACTATTAACAGCTGCGTCCTATAACTATGAGGTTAATAGGAGTTTGACCTTAGATGTAGTGAGAACAGGAGGAAACCTTCAATATAATCATGTTATTTAATTTGAAAATGAGCTGCAGCCTTACCATATATCAGATTAATCCCTTAAATATAGAAGTCTTCAAAGCAGTGTTAAAACAGCAACCGTGCTATAGAATAAACAGGGTGCATTATATGTGCAAATTCCCTCTAAAAACCTGTTAGCCCACTGCAAATGATGGGGAAAATGAGAAGGTAGCTTGCTTTTCTGTTCATTAACTCAATATAGAATTATAATCAATTAAGTCTTTGCTATTCCTTTTTCAAAGCTTCCTAAAAGTGTTTCTTAGACTGGCTTGCAAGGTATAACAAGACCATAATAATGTCCAGTGGCTTACACTGTGCTTCTAATGCACATACGAGGTCATCAGATATTAGCTTTTATATATCTGAAATCACATGGCAGCTCTAATGACCAACAAATCCCGTTTTGGCAAACAAGACCTTCTACTGTTTTCTCTCTAAAGTAGTATTGTTTTAACAGCCAGAGTCTATATATGATTTCATACAATTTTTTAGAAATTATAAACCAGATGGAAAATACAAATTGAAACTCAAACACACAAATGTACAGGGAGATATATGTGACACTGGCCTCCTAACTATCCCCACAGACATGCTGGCTAGCAGGGCTAACTTAGGCTGTTGAAAAGGAAATTGTATCTTTAAGGTAGAAAGTAGGAAGTAGTCACAGCATTGCACTCTGCCTGGGGACACAAAGTCTACTGATGTCAATTGGAATCTTTCCATCAGATTCACAGTCTTCTGAGAGTCATGTGCCTTGCACAATATCTATGCCACATAGAAACATAGAATCATTGAAAATTAGGGTTGGAAGGGACCTCAGGAGGTCATCTAGTCCAACCACCTGCTCAAAACAGCACCATCCCCCATTAGATCATCCCAGCCAAGCCTCTGTTTAGTTTGGTCTTAAAACCTCCAAGGATGGAGAATCCACCACCTGTCTGGGTAACCTGTTCCAGGGCTTTACTACCCTCCTATTGAGAACGTTGTTCCTAATATCTAACTTAAACTTTCCTTGCTGCAACTTGAGATCTTGTTTGGTTATCTGCCACCACTGAGAACAGTCTAGCTCCATCCTCTTTGGCACCACCCCTCAGGTAGTTCAAGGCAGCTATTAAATCCCACCCCCCTCAGTCTTCTCTTCTCTTCTCTAAATAAACCCCCAGCCTTTCCCCACAAGTCATGTGCCCTAGCCACCTAACCATTTTCGTTGCCTTCTGCTGCATTCTCTCCAATTTGTATACATCCTTTCTGGGAGAGGGGGAGACCAAAACTAGGCATAGTACTCCAGATGTAGCCTCACCACTGCTGAATAGAGAGGAACAATCACTTCCCTTGATCTGCTGGCAACACTCCTACTAATGCAGCCCAGTATGCCATTAGGCTTCTTTGCAACAAGGGCAAATTGTTGTCTCTCATTCAGATTATTATCCACTGTAACCCCCATGTCCTTTTCTGCAGAGCTGCTGCTTAGCCACTTGGCCACCATCCTGTACTGGTGCAGTGTCTTGGACAACTCATCTATTCACATCTCTCTCTAACTTAAACTTTGTGGTTCCTATGTAATCTTGCCCTCC